GACTACAGTCCTCGAGATCTCAACTCGTGTCATCAAAATACTATACCTTTAAAACAGGATATATTTAACTACGAAAACAATTTTGTTTGAATTACTAAAACAAAAATAATAAGCTCGTGTGTTTGGTGTTAATAGCTTTTTATAAAGACAAATAATCAAAATTTACTGGGCGGCGCTCAGCCTGTTATGTCATTCAACCGAATCTCTGTTCGGTTTTTATATTTATGTTTTCTGAACATAAATATAAAAACCTGGGGTTTCCTTGTCATACGTTGTATGACCCGCCGCGCACGAGTGCGCGGCTCCCCCTGTATCGTAGAAATTCTACAGAAACACTATAGTTGCTCTAACCAGAGCCCTCTCACTTGCAGTAGCGCGCGACCTTGTTGTGAAACAAGCGCGTCACGCAGTACGCGTAGGCAAATGGCTATGTGAAACACTATAGTGAAGCGACAGTGGGGGTCACCACGTAATGTCGTGATACAAGGGTTTCCACTTTCCAGGTTGATCAACATTTTATTTTTATTATTCTTATTACCAATTAATACAATTCAAGAAAACAACATTTTTTAAAAATTACTCCAAATGCGACGTACCTAAGCCGCGCGTTTTAGATTTTACAAAATTAAAACAATCTGATTGACAATTATTAAATAAATACACAATTTATGCAGTTTACTCAAAAAATGCTATAAATAAAATATTACTTGATTGACGATGTCAATCCTTCGCATCTCGCCGATCTGTGGTTGCGAGAAGCATTATTCGATGCGCGCGCGACCCAGTAGTGCATCGCGCTACAAAATATTACCAAACGTACGACCAGGGCACGGCTTGTATCACGTTAACGGGTGATACTCGTAAAATATCTGTTCCATATATATTAAGTAAAACAAAATTTAAGTAAAACAAAATTTAAATTTTATTGCCATTACAATGAATAATGATATCATAATAAATAAATATATAATATTGGACCGTCGACGAGTCCAACTCGGCGCGCGTCCTAGTAGGTTGTAAACTTACAATGACCCCACTGTCGCTTCACTATAGAGTTTCTACGATACAGGGGAGCCGCGCACTCGTGCGGCGGGTCATACAACGTATGACAAGGCACGGCACACAACATTTTTAAATAGGAAAATTAATTTAATTTTGGATTGCAAACAATCACGAAAGTTTTAATAACAAATAATAAACAAATTTATTAAACTAAAAATCTAGCTTGCTAATTCATTTAAATATTAAAACTTGAAGCCTCCGAGTAAATTTCTGGAGGTCAAAATCAACTTTCCAGTAAATTTTTGCTTATTGAAAATGACAATACAAAAACTTAATTTAATTGTTCACGAAACAAATATTCACAATCTACATCTAATTTATAAACACTTATGCGCGGCGTAGTACAGCACATTTTCAAAACCGTATATATTTATAATCGAGCGCTATCTATTGATATGATATATTCAACATTCTTAGAGCATTTCCTCATTGCTTATGGTGATTAAATAACACTCACCGATTGTATTTGAAGTAGACTTTGATTTAGAAGGTGTTTATAACCTTTCAGTCTTTATTGAATTACTATATTGAATTATATTGAAATTTGTAATGTAAGTTAACAAATTTAAAAATTACATCGTTTATTTTGTGAATTCTAAAAAATAAATCGAACTTTGCTCAGCTCACTTTGGTAAATATGAATTGAAAATTTGTGTGTATATATTTGATTGTTTAAAGTTCAATTGGTAGCAGTGGACCATTTCCGTTACCTACGTAGTGTGCTCAACTCATTGCAACACTTGAATTGATTGTGGTCTGCCAATTTCATCACTTGATTGTTTGGCCATCACCGCTTTGTTGGCCAGTATCAACCCCATTATATTAGTGGGACTTTGGTCGCTTATACGGCCTAAGCGGTATACAAATTATGCGTTATTATTATTATTATTTTATATTGTTTCAATTATACATGATTTTCTGGAGTAACTAAATTAAGCGGCCAAACTGATGAACAGCAGAGGTCAACAAAATAAAATTTGGTAAGAAAAAAACAGAAGAATTAACCCTCAAAGTAACCTGAAATTTACACCAACTTACCCAGAATCTATCTAAAATTGACCCTAAACTGACTGCATACAAATTTCAGCTGCAACAAATTTCAGCTGCAACAAATTTCAGCTGCAACACACAGAGATGGGGGCATATTAGATCTTGTAATTACCAGGGATGGTTCTTTTACTCACGATTGCATTGAAGTTCTAGATCCTGTCATTACTGATTCTGGCACATCGTCTGACCACTACTTTGTTGCTTTCAATTGCAATGTATCTCCAGCACCCATAGGCACTCTAGAACCAATTACTTACAGAAACATTGCTTGCATAGACCTAGATGCTTTTGTTGAGGACATTCTTAAGTCAAAACTATGTGACACTGATTGCTTCAATGACCTCGATAGTGCAGTTGATATCTATGAGTCTGAGTTGAGCAGTATTTTGGACAAGCATGCTAAAGAAAAAACTTTCATCCCAAGAAAAGATCATAACGCTGAATGGTGGTCTACACACTGTCAACAAGCAAAAGCAATGAGAAGAAAGATTGAGAGACTGTATCAAAAGAATCATGATTGCCCAGATTATAAACGACTGTACAGGAAAGCATCAGAGAGAGCATCCTCAGTCATTGTATCCACAAGAGATCACTTCTACAAAACAAGGTTACAAGATAGTGCAGGTGATGCTAAAAAGACTTATTCCATCGTTAATAAGTTGCTCAATAAAGAAAAAGTTAGTACTACTACACCTTCTTGCTCTTCGAATCTTGAGAGTGCTAACAACTTTGCACAGTTCTTTAAATCAAAGGTCGACAACATATACAACAACATTTATTTAGAACAACAATCCCAAGATTCTCCTAACTCAGATGAATTTGTTCCTCTTTCTAATAGCCCAAAGATAGTACAATTCCGTCATGTGTCTGATGAAGAACTAGTAAGCATCATAAAGAATATGTCTAACAAATTCTGTGATCTTGACCCCATACCTACAAAGATTCTCATCAAGTTTCTCCCAGAACTCCTTCCTCTGATCTCATTTATAGTCAATGAATCATTAGTTAAAGGTGAGTTTCCTATAAAACTTAAGGAGGCTCTCATTCGTCTAAGTTTGAAGAAACGTGGCCTTGACGGTGAATCTCTATCTAACTATAGGCCTATTAGCAATCTCTCATTCTTGTCAAAAATCATTGAGAAGTGTGTATCTATACAGCTCACCAGTTATCTTGAGGATAACAACTTGCTTTCTAAAGTTCAGTCCGGCTATAGGAAGTTTCATAGCTGTGAAACTGCAACAACCAGAATCCATAACGACATCTTGATAACTATTGACAAGAAAACTAAAGTTGTTCTTTTACTTCTAGATTTGAGTGCTGCCTTTGATACTGTCAATCACCCAAGATTAATCAAGAAGCTAAGATCTGCTTATGGCATTACAGGCATTGCTCTTACATGGATCAGGTCCTACTTGGCTAACCGTTCATTTTGTGTCAAAGTCAAGGATTCGTCTTCCTCAGCAACTGTTCTTGAGATAGGTGTGCCACAAGGTTCAATCCTTGGCCCCCTGCTATTCATATTGTACACCAAAGATCTTGAGAACATTGCAAGTATGCATGGGTGCTGTATTCATTTGTATGCTGATGACACCCAGCTGTATTTCACTCTTGATTATGATGACCCATCACAGCTAGAGCACAATATGGAACACTGTATGTCTGATATCAAGAAATGGATGACAAACAATTTCCTTCAACTGAATTCTTCTAAGACTGAAGTCATCGTTATATCCTCTAAATTTGACTCAACAAATATTCCAGCCTCTCTACAGATTGTTAATGATCAAGAGCCACATGTTGTTAGTGGAACTGTGAAGAGTCTTGGGCTGTATTTGGGCAGTTATCTTTCAATGAGTGATCAGATTACGTCAGTGGTTCAAGCATGTAATATTCAGATCAGAAATTTGTGGTTTATTGCATCAAAACTGTCTTTTAACCTTAAGATTCAGCTTGTTCATGCTCTAGTACTCTCTAGAATTGATTATTGCAATAGCGTATATTTTGGACTGAGCTCTTATGATTTAAGTCGTTTACAGAAGGTGCAAAATTCTGCTGTAAGATTTATTTTCGGGAGAGGAAGAAAGGCACACACTACTCCACTACTTAAGAAAGTTCATTTTCTACCAGTTAGATTTAGAATAGATTTTAAGATTGCCCTACTTGCCTACAAGTGTTTAAATAATATAGCTCCTCCTTACTTAAAAGAGTTGATATCTCCTAGGCAGCAAAGTTTTAAAAATGTACGTCTTGATAATGATTATTTTTACCTTAGTTTTCCGCCCTCTCCTAACTATGTAAACACAGAGAAAGCTTTTAGTCACTGTGCAGTTAAAGTATTTAATTCCTTGCCATACGACATAAGATCAGCTGAGTCAGTTACATCTTTCGAGACCAAACTTAAAACATACTTCTTTTCTCTAGCATTTGATTGATTTTGCATTTACATAGGTAAAATGAACTTGTCATGTCTAATTTTCAATTAAACTAAGCTCAGTTAATGTAAGAGCCGCTTTAGAAAGCACTGGAGTTTATCTCCAGGATTAAATTATATCGAGTTATATGATTTAGCTATAAGGCGGTTTATAAATGTTGTATTTATTTATTATTTTATTATTTATACTCAGATCACCCAGTGTGACAGTTATTGAATAAGGTTTTCAAACAATTAACCCAAGATTACCCAAGCTTACCTACACAACTGCCATAATACAAACCAACCCTAAACTCCTTTAAAACACTAACCACATACTTACCGGGCCTGGGCGACATCTTCAATGAACTAACTCTAACTTTGTGTAACATCTATCAGTAGTTCAACAGTGAACAATGATGGCCACTTCGATTAATATCTTTTATCTAGTTACATACTTGTCAAATGTCAAAGATTGAATTTCAGTAGGTATTGTTGATATGCAATGATCGGGAAATGGAAAAACTTGGTTGACACCCTACAGACAGATCTTAGAAGTGTTTCCTCAGAAGCAAAGAGGAGGCACCCTGCAGTGAAAGATGCAGCTGAAAGAGCCATCTTAAAACTCAGAAGTCTAAGTGCTGCTAATGATAAACATATAAATGAAGGTGAGTTACTATTTTGATTTACTTCAAATTTATTAGGTTCTAGTATTAACAAGAACGACCTGAATATAATCCTGTATAATAGCCAAAAACATTACTGACTATTCAAGTTTTTCATCTTAACAAAAACAATGTATGAAGTTTTTAAATTACCACATTGTATTTAAAACTAAGTTTAGAGTAAAAACTCAATAATGAATATTTCAGTTATTGCCAGGTCAGACGATGTTATTCAACCCTTTATCCTCGGCTGTGAAACAAAGAATCCAAAGTTGATTCTTATCAGTATCACTTGTATTCAAAAGCTGATCTCTCATGATGCTGTGCCTGATACATCTGTAACAATTATCGTTAAAACTCTGAGTGAGTACATAATATTATTAACCTTATATTTAAAATTAGAAAACAAATTATTAAAAAACATCCTGTCTGTTCTGTAATTTATAATATTACCAAGTTACCCAAAAAAAATATTTTGTTGAGCTTTGAGGTACATTTAAAAATCATAAAACGTGCTGTGCCTGTGCTTGTCACTGTGCGTGATCATATTTTTTAATTACAGCGCCGACTTGGCAAGAATTCAACTGTTTTGATATATATTTTGTTGAACAGGTCCAAGTAATTGCTCGGTGTTTTTGTGTTTGTTGCCTGTGAATACGGAGCTAGAGACTAAAGAAGGGCTGTAATTTTTAAAGATATTGAAACTTTATAATTTACCACTTTAAACATGCATGATTAACAAAATGTTATTTTATCTCTAATTACTTATTTCCACCAGGTGACATGCACCGACAGGAGATAGAGCTTTTAAGGATACTGCAGACTATTTTGCTGCTGCTTACATCCACAAAGTTGCTGCACGGAGAAACTCTCGCTCAGGTACACATTATCATTCCTAATTCAATTATAATTAAATGATAATTCCTGCTGCACTGAATATGCCAGATATTTCTGAAAAATTCTTGCAGTACTAATTTTAGTAGTTTAAAGATTGCCATTATATTTCTATGATTTTACGTTACACCAAGTTAATGACAATCTGTATCATAAATATTTAGTGATTTGACTCAATATGACAATACTCAGATATTCTCCTCAGGCGATTGCGATCTGTTTTCAACTTCACTCGTCCTCCGAACACACAATCGCAAACACGGCAGCTGCCACCCTGAGACAGGTCGTTGCTGTTGTATTCGATAGGGTCGTTCAGGAGGGGATTAGACAGAGTAAGTCACAAGTAATAACAATTTATTCGTTTCAGTTGAAAAACTGATTATTTGTTGATAGTTTTAATTAATATTTCCATCAATTGCAGTGGGGGTCACAAAACTGTGATAAACATCTTTCTTTAACTTTCTACATTTAAACAGAATAAGAAACCATTGATAACAAAACACGAGTTCTTGTGACAATTTCAAACAATAAAATGGGAGCTGTGGAATCAGAAATCTAGAGACATGAATATTATTATTATCATTCAAGATTTAAAATGATATAGTATCAGTAAATGATCAATTTTACAGATGAAAGTGGTCCTCCGGAGACCGATAAGATGGGTGTTTGTGCTACTGATGCTTACTTACTTTTTCAAGTAGGTTATTAATAACAAGTTTACTCCCAAGCAAAGCAGCCAACACGTGAAATTACAATTGTATTGTTGATACTTCAAGCACTGTTTTTTATCGTTATTCGATCTCAAATACTAAATAGTCTGTCTAAGCGAAGTCACAAATCGTCAAATTTAAACTGTCGATTTCACTGAAACCTAATCGGTAGGAACATAAATTGAGAGATTATTGTACAAGTGGCTGACTAACTGGCTGAACGCCACATACAACTTGCTCAAGGCTCTTTCTTAGGTTTGCACTCGTATAAAACAAAATAATCGGGAAAAATAGAGAATCGAAGTACGTCAAGGCTTTTGCCAATGGTATAAAACATTCTGGTTTCATTGTAAGTAAAAAATGATTCGTGACCTCTATAGACCTTGACAGACATAGAACGTCACCGTAAAAAGTAGCTAGATTAGTGATCACTGAAGAGACTGAAATCAGACAGAGCGGAAGAACGGCAGATGACACGAGAACGTTGCTGTACGATCGTGAAGTGGAAGAAACAAGGACAACAATTGAGAGGAGACTCACTAGAACGACCGCTACGTCCTGGATGAGCAGAAAAGGAATTGTGTACATCCCTCTATCCTTGAAGAAGTTGTACCAAGGGTGTTTGGTCAGAAGGACAGTTGCTAGCTCGATGTTTGCAACGATAAACAGAGCACAACATACTTTGTAGGATTTCCTCCTAGACTCAGGAATGAGATGGGTGTTTTGAGCAGTGACGAGGAGCATTCCGTAACTGTAGAGACGCTGGCAGCAAAGGTAGAGACGGAATAGGACGGATGAGTATATGCACAGCCACGAACACCACACCTCTGCTTTCCAGAAATATTTTCCAGTACCGCTGCCGCTACCTGTAGAAAGATTCTGTAAAAGTGTGACATTATATAACGCGTATTTTGAGAAGACGTATTTTCATGTTGTGAAGCTTTCTACCTTATCTTCAATTTCTGCAAAATCTGAAAATCACAAACCTTTCAAAAAGCTGCCCATAGCAGTCTCAACGAAGTATATTAACAGAAAACATCCGTTCATCACGTCAAAAAAGGTGATCCCTTTTAGAGTTACAGCGTTTCCTCCAAACGATAGATGTGATCTCATAACATTGCCTGAAAAAGATATCACGAATAATCAATCTTTTAATTTCTATGAAAATGTTGTCAGATACCGGGAATCGGCAAATACTATTAATGATTAAATAGCTCCAAATTAATATGAACATCACTAAATTTTACAATGCGCAGTCTCATGAAATAGCTGATACTTACTTATAGCTTTGAAAGCTAAGATGTTGATGAAGATGATAGCCAGGCCCAGTGGTGCAGAAGTGTATCTGATAAACGTGTAAACACCCTTACAAAATGTGTCATTCCGGCTCAGTTCAGAGATATTCCAGGAATTCGAGGCTGATTCCTCTAGGTAGAGAGTATCGTTTATACAGTACATTATATTATTATCCTGAGCGATAAGAGATGAGATAACAGAGCTCAATAATAAACACGTAACAAAAGTACACACAACATGGAACAATTTATTTTCTACGTATCAATGATTAATTACGTTACTTTTATGGGTATGTAGTGTTACAATCATCGTTATTCAAGTCACAATTACATGTGATTATTTGGATTGGTCAAGCAAAAGAGACTCACAAGTATTAATGTCCTGACTCCAGAAATAAAAATGTTAACCGAGAGTTTAATTGCATTAGGAAGCATGAATGATCAAGCTGTATCAATGTTTGTTGCTAAGCTCTGTATTAAAATAAACTACGGTGAAACAGAACATACTGAAGGGAAAGGAAGCAGTTCTAACGAGCTCTTCTCAAACACAAGGATATAACTTGTGAACTCGCTAGTATATATGAAACATTTGTCATGGAGTTGTAGGGGAGTTATGTGCCTCGCCGGGCTAAAGTAGTGGATGTTCTTGCTGTACGCACGTTAAACAAGGATCTGAAACTACTAGGTTCGTACAGACTCAACTCTGCACCCGTGTCAATATGTTCATTATATGCAAGCCTCTTGATTTATGCCATGTAAAAATACAGTCGTAAGAACAAAAACACACTCACAGAGCTCCCAACTATAAAAATTAGAATCTAGATAGTGGACATGAAAAAAGAAGGCCGTTACTAGTCAGAAAACCAAAGCTCCTAGTAAGAGATGCAGCTCATAACAACACTTCATTCGACAAATGAGGTGTGTAGGCTGTAAAACCGCTGCCCACTATTACACTAGTCCCTTATAATAAGATAACTTCAAACTAATGTACGTTTAAAGACTAATAACGACCTCCAAGCTAGCTAGTCACGTATGGAGCGGTGATGCCACCGTAACAGAAAGTTACAGAAAGTAAAAACAATTTCGAACAAGACGTGACTTAATCAAACGTGACTAAGGTAAAACTGATAAAACATTACGGAGTATGTGTGTATTACAAGCAGTTTGTGTCTCAAATATGTGATACCTTTATCATGTGACGCGTGGTATCAAGGTGTTATTTATACATGCCACAAGAATCTCAGAGAGGACGCCATCCCTTTAAAGGGGGGGAGAGTCAGGACTCCGAGGACCATATTAAATTAATTATATAATGCTTTTGGACACGAAACAAAACGTAAGGTTTGAAATCTTCGTAAAAATACATCATTAGAGCCTGTAAAACATTAAACTTTAAGATAAGCAATCTATCAAATAAAATTCATATATAATCATCATAATTTATTAAACTAAAAGTAACAATTGTAACAAAGGCACAAATTTCTCAGTCAAAAATTCGTAGCATGTAAGAAATTATGGATGGGGTACAATCACTCGGAAAATCTATAGTATAGTATGAAACAAACTAAACACTTTAGTAATATAAAGCTGATAAGCAGTGACTATAGAACTACTTATCAAGTTATCAAACAAAAATGCACTAATCGGTCTTAGAACTGCTGTGTCCTATTACTGTAAATTGATAAGTAAATCATCGTTAATTATGTGACGATATCACTAAAAGCTAATATTATCTCTTCTACATACCAGCTTTATTTGTAAACACGACCAAATGTATCAAATATCCAGGTTGTAAGTATGAATTACAAAATATATATTAAATTTTATTGTTATATTAAATTAATTCCTTCTGTAACGTCCTCAATTAATGTAATAGATTTGAAGTGTTTAATTTTTTTAGTTTTTTTTAAAAAAATAAAAATTTTATTATTCACTAATTAACTCCGCCACTCACACTATTTACACATGCCAGAAAGACCTAAGCGTGGTTATTATAGTATTGTTGCTGAAAGTGCAGAGTGCAAACCTATATGTCAGCTCTGCTTTGGAGAATCTAGGCCAATTCAATCAACAAATTTAAAGAAATGATCAGAGCTCTGATCATTTCGTTAATTTTGTTGATTGAATTGGCCTAGATTAATTCTCCAAAGCAATATATTATCCTGCTCAGTAAAAATGAAATGATCTTTACTTTTAAATGTACCCTTGCACCTATGAGTGTGCGTGAATGACACCAACTAGTGATATTGCGAAACTGTAGATCACTGCAGGACCCGATCATTTTGTTGGAGCTTTGTCTTCAGAGAACCGTACAAAAGAGACCGTTATATTATTTAAGCTTATATGGGGTGTTATTTTGGTGTACACACTGAGTCATATAATGGACAGAGATTTATTGCTAAAGATATCCTTGTGTGTAGGGTATGAAATGAGGAATAGTCTTAGTTGTATTTCAGATAATATTGGCCACAATATTCAGCTGAACAATGTGTGTAAGGTAACCTAAAGCTCTAAAGTAAGTAGTGTAACTAGTGTATTATAACTAGTGTATTATGTGTGTTGAGACGCTACTAGTCCTAGGTAGTGTGCGGTCTGGATATGCGGACTGGATATGACTAGATTAGATATAATATTTAATCCCATTACATAATATTCACCCATACCAATAGATGCAATAGATTTGTAGTTCTGTAATTTGTTTAAATGACAATATTACAGCGGGTAGCAGTAGTAGTATTACTAATTAGCTTGGTGTTACTTGGCCACGAGGAAAGCTGGGATTGGCCGTAAAATGTTACAGAAATAAAAATCCTTCATAACATTCATTCCTCTAAATTAAAGTACGGCAGCTAACGAATTAACAATTTAATAACTGTAAAAGGAAAACTTGACAAATAGCGACTATCCTCCCCCACGAATTAACAATTTAATAACTGTAAAACTTGACAAATAACAACTATCCTCCCCTCTACAGGACATATGTCAGCTGACTAATTGGGAGCCTCCCTATTGGCTGGTCGGTGTGAAGGAGGTGCCCCGAACATTTGGACTAGAGCTGCTGGAGAACGTACTGGTCTCCTCTCACGATACCTTTACTGATGTGAGTGTGAGTTAACCACAATGTTTTTAAACAGTTTGCGATTAATTAGTGGACTAGAGGGACGAGGTGGAAATTAAAAGTAGAAAATGTTTATGGTGAGAGGGCGGAGTTAGAAATAGAATGTATTCGTGCACTGGCAAACAAAGGAATGTATTCATGCTGAATGCTGATAAACGAAGGATCACAGCAACAAAACTACATATCACGTACACTGTACAGAGACTTATAAATTTAGGACGGGGAGAGTGACTTTATCCATGACGCTTCAATCTTCTTCCTAGTTTATATTGTTCTAAACAAACGTCCTCAACTACATTTAAAACTCTGTTATTAGATCGAATAGCAATACAATTCTTGGTACCTAGAGATTTAGAATTGTTAGTAAAGTAGTAAGAGTAGATAATCTTAGCACGGTCAGCCAATCAAAATTAACCTAAAAATAGTATTGTCGGTGGACCGTGCCAATTCGAGTGATTTCAGCTGTCAGTTCTATATGGGTACACTTTAGATGTATTGTATTGAAACTTGGCACACGTCCAAATGACTGGATACTTAAAACTCTATAGTAGTAATTACATCAAGGTAGTACACTATTGCCTCGGTGCTAATTACATCAAACAATATTGTGATTAAATATTATAATAATGTACAATGTACATACATTAACTTTCCTCACCACATAACTATAACATACCTTTACCACACCACAGCAAAAGGAGTTCACGTTCCTGCTAAAAGAACGGGTGTGTCCCCTGATAATAAAGCTCTTCTCCCCCTCTATAAAACACAGCAGAGGAGGACCCAAACCCAGCACCACTTCTGATAGTAACCTCTTTTCTGTGTGTGTCAGGTTGCTTAGGATCGTGCACTGTTTGCTGAAGAATTATCATTCAGAACTGGTACGTGATCTTAAAACAATGTAGCTTGATATTGTCGTGATTAAAGTAACCAATATTGTTAAGCAGTTCACAATGCACTCGGTCAGTATGATTATTTCATCTATCATACGTTACATGTTGCGAATTTATTCAGCGACTGGGGGTTGCATAACTTAGACTTTTATGACTAAATTAAATTTTGGGTATCATGGCTGCATATCTGAGATTTGTATTTCCAAATAAAATTTTGGATGTAACATTGAGAATTTAAAGGGTAATTATTTTTCCTGGATAATGTAATGTCGCATGATTATGTCTAATATAATAACTCACTTTACCAGGTAACTGAATGTGAAATATTCTTATCGATCATTGTGAAGTTTCTAGATGCTGATAAGCCTTTTTGGCAACGAACTGTTGCTCTCGAAGTTTTACATCAAGTATGTTGTCCAGTGTGCTACATAACATGCTAAATATTTTACAAATTATTACTGATCAGATGACATGATATTTTGTTAGAATTTTGAATAGAGATCAGAGATATGATCTAACTACTCAAACTTCAAAGAGAAGCTGATGAAGTTTAGAAGACGGTTCCGATACCTTTAACAACTGATAACCTCAGGTATGCAGTGAACCTGCGCTCTTATCTGATTTCTGTAAAAGTTACGACCTACAAGACCAGAGTTCTAAAGTGTTCCACGAAATAATGGGAGCAATGGGGGGCTTCCTTCAGTCCCTGTTCACGGGGAACACTCCTGCCAGCCAAAATGGTTTGTTTAGTAAGATCCTCATTTTGTGGGCCGTTGTTTTAGTGATCACTCCACATTTTCTGTGTGGTTTTAGGAATGCCGGAATCTAACCACAAACTTGGCTGGTGTTAATGCTTTTTCATGTTGGCATGTGTAATTAGTCAGATATTTACCGTATAACTAATAATTTATCATAATATGTCAAGATAACATTATGATGTGCAATACAATACTGCTAAATGAATCAGGTTTATGTGTAAAATTCATTTACCGCTGGACAAGCGACAATGTCTCGCCGATGTCTCGCATTGCGACACAATGTACACTAATAGCCGATCATTAGATATCGCCAATCTAGTTACTTTACTTAAAAGCTTATAACACTCTGGTTTCGCAAATCATCAATTACATCACATGCAACATTTCAAAGTAGTGGATATGTTTGAGAGTAATGTAGAGTTGTACTAACCCAGCTCTCGGTGTTTTTCATCCCATGAAGACTATTGCTAGATCGGAAGATTTTGCTTTGACGAAGCATGATGGTTAACCTAGAATTAAAATAATTGTATTTTAACTCAAACAATGTCTCAGCAAAGTTCAATACCCCATATTGTACAGGTGTAGCGAGTCCAGTACATCTAGGACAGCAGCCCCTGGACAATATTATATTCTCGCTGGGACACACAACCATAATGTTATCAGCACTTCCCAGTATGAGGAGCACTTTCAAACCTTTACTGTAAGTAATTATATCCATATCTACAATACATTGTTCATGTTTCTTCTAATGTTTGTTAACATGTAGCAGTCATATTTAACATTGTCTTGTTTTTAATTTAAACATGGTAAGCACTGCTAATTTAAAGCTCGTATGAGAAAGTAAAAGCTTTTGACTGAAAGTAATTTGAAACTGCTACTATTTCCAATGTCTGGTACCAAGACCATTAATGACCGCTTGAAAGCTTATTTTGAGTAGCGCTGGAGCGAAACTGCAGGTCTAATATACCACACCTGTTACAGATTATCAGCACTAGAGAAGACGGAGGCCCCACCGTTCACGGATGGGTACACACTGGGGGTCACTTATGCAGCTATCCTCCACATCATCAACAGCATATTTCAGAGTCATAATCTTGTGAGTGTTGGCGCTTGGATAAATCGTGTTGTTGTTAATCGGAGGAATTTAAATAGAGGTAAAAATGTGTCGCTTAAAAGACGCGTATTTGTAACGCGCGATGCAAACTCTGTATTGAAAGTGTATCAAAAAAGCATTTTCCATGACAGCATCGCGCCTTCGCACGGATGTACGCGTGGTGGGCCATTAATACATAATATATACTGTCCGATTGTATTCACACTTACGATGTATTGATGTAGTATGTACACATTAAACTTAGTCCATTGGTGTTATAATGAAGTTTACAGCCGCTTCTTAGAAACAATAACAGATGGTATATTATAAACACTTTATCATTTAACATCTACAGGCTGAATCTAACTCTGACGACGAGTTGATGGCAACAGTGTCAGAGATGACAAATGCAAGTTGGCACGGTCTACTTGCAGCTCTGTCTCTACTGTTAGACGCAGCTCAAGATGAAACTGCAAGAGAGCTTGTTCTTAAAAGTCACCAGGACTTCGCTAGCCTTTGTGGTTCTCTTGGAATTAACATTGCCCGAGATGCGTTCATCACTGCGCTGTGTAAAGCGTCACTTCCCCCACATTACGACTTGTTCATTACTGGAGTTAAGCATGTCGAGGTGAGAGAATTGTATTTAAATGTTCAGTTCTTGATAAATTGAACGCCGCAAATATGCAATTTGTTCATTCGAATGCTTACAAATTTTACACAACAACAACACATTTTCTCCTCATTTTACCTTACTAACTTAAGATGAACATTCAGGACGACAAGCATCTAGTGATGTTGTCCGCTAAGAACATACAGTGCATGAGGTCCCTCCTCTCCATGGCGCACTGTCACGGCAAGATACTGGGAACTGGTTGGAACATGGTTCTCAGAACACTGCAACATCTGACCTGGATACTGGGCCTGGTTCCTACTGATAACGGACAATTAGTTCCAAGTCCATCTGCTGATGGCGCTAATGTGGTGAGTGAAGAAAATTAGAGAATTTGTTAGCCTATTTGAACAAATTAAATTAGACATTTTAATTGAAAATGTAAGCTCTAACCTTATAATCAAGATCACGATCTATTTCTCCTGCAGGTGAAGACAGCTGCTCTCTCAGCAGATCTCCCGATCATATGTAGCATGTTATCTAGACTGTTCCAGAGTTCACAATACCTCTCTGAAAAGGCCCTCATGCACTTGATACAAGCTCTCTGTCAGCTTTCGGCTGAAACTGAGGCGTCCACTACCAGAGTAAGTTCGATAACTTGAATGTGGGTTTTATACCTTTACAGGAGTTTGATTTTATGCATCACATGGGAATATGGGATATCATGTGAATATATGAATAATCGTTTCAGGAAAAGTCGCTGTTCTCAGTCGGTAAGATCCTAGAAACATGCCTAGTAAACCTGTCTCGATTACACCTGCTATGGGAGCAAGTCTCTGCTCACCTTCTCACAGTTTGCCACGAGAAATACACTCCTCGCCGTACCTGGGGTGCTCTTTCTCTCACTAAACTCCTCCGTGCTGCTATTGAGGCGGACCACAGTCTCCCATTATCTCAGAATGCTGTGAGTACTGAGTATACCCTAGGTTTTACTTCTTAAAATCTGCCGTCAATGCATTGTTCAAGCTGTGGTGTTAACTAAGCAATAATCATGTAGATATTATGAAGAGGATTTATCTGCTTACCATTTTTATACTTTTTATCAGCCGTATGTCCCGAGAAATGTGACTGGATTGGTAAGATAAAGTGATTTTTGTGTGATTGTGAGAAAGATATCTTGTCAATCTCATATTATATTAGAAAGCAAGTTTTCGTTTTATCGTTTGCATGGCTCTGAGTTTTTCGTTCTCAAAACTCTTTGACTAAAAGCAAATTTAAACTTCGATTCTGTGCGTGGAATGTCTTGTGCAGCTTTTTCAGCACAGCAACAAAAAGTTAACAAATAATCAGCTAGTATTTTACAAATAACCATTTTCAGGAACTGACGACATCATTACTGGGTCCTCTGGTAGAAATGTGCGAGATAAGAAGTGAGGATGTCCGACTAAAACAGCTGGAATGTCTCCATGACATCCTTAACTCACGGGGCCACACTCTACCGCTCGCTGCGTGGCCTCCCGTTCTCTACATCCTGGGATCCGTCGTCACTGCTGGCCATGCTTCTTCGTAAGTTCCACCTCTTTTGACTCAAAACAACTTTTGTTCACTCGACTCTCTAACATAAATAAAATTGGGCAACAGCATCCTGCTCCTCAAGTACTATTTGAACGTTATTTAGAAATGAGAGCTATTAATTGTACGTCTTATAACAAAACCTAACATCCTCAGAGAAACAGTGGTACGGCAAGGTTTCCTCTCCCAACATCTCCTCGTTAACGACTTCCTACCTCTCATCCACCCTGCTTGTATAGCGCAGTGTGTCGAGGTGACGGGAGGGTTCGGACATCAGAGAGCTGAGCTCAATATTAGTCTCACTGCCGTGGGACTTCTGGTGAGCATTTTATTGTGGTCACTTCTAAATGTTAGGGGAACTATAACGTATTCTAGAGTATGAGGACACGAACGAACAGCATGTTAAATATTCTGAAACGAATCAGTTTCCTCGTCACCTCGATAATACCTACCCCTGATCAGTTCTCTTAAACCTAATATAATTTCAGTGGCACATCAGTGATTTCCTGTACCAGAACCATGACAAGATCTCTAGCAACTCAACTGAAGAATGCGGTGAGATCAGGAAACAGGAGATAATATCAGGGCCTATCGTGGCACTCAGACAGACCCACCCTTCTGAAATCTGTTTTGACACTCTGTGGATCAGCTTATTCCAGGTTTGAGCTAATGTTTGATTACATAGACTCAAGAGTCCCCTTACTTTCACTTACCCTTTTATTTAAGATAGTTTTCAGTTATTATAACATTTCTTGACCGGCACGTCATGTCATGGACTACGGATTGAGGTCAAAAGTCAGTAAGTTTTCTTATTATTAGACAGTGTACTCAGTGTATTCAGTAAACGAACAAGTTCTGATGCTAATGAGTCGGCTCCAACTATAGGTAAAATTCCATGAAGGTATGACGGCCCCTTTATCCAAATTCGGGCTTAACTTGATCCTGGAAAAAGAGCTATGAGGAAAGATGAGATTTATTGCTCATGATTTATGATTGGCTCTGCAATTGGCATACTCGATTCAATTTTTTGTATATATAATATGTTAGAATGACCGTTTTTATAAAAATAAGCTACTTCCAATGTTTTTATGATAGTAGCATCTTTTTCGGTTTAAAATGCATTTAGCAGTGATCTTAAGGTTCTGTTGGATCTACACATATTATTTACTGTGAATTTTTATTGGTCGACTCAACGTGATCGAACAAATCGGTTTTTCTGTGCCCTTTATGAGGAGGGAGCTGTCAAAAGATCTGGTTATCGTTAAATACCAATCAGTACATCTAAATTGTAGTGTTATGTAACACTGCTCAGTAATACTACTAACTTCCTTAATCATTAATTCACATACATGATATCATAATATAGCTCCTCCTTAATTAAAGAGTTGTTATTCTCTACGGAAGCAATGTTTTAAAAATTGTACGTCTTGATAATGTTATTTTTACCTTAGTTTTCCGCCCTCTCCTAACTATGTAAACCAGAGAAAGCTTTTAGTCACTGTGCAGTTAAAGTATTTAATCCTTGCATACGACATAACGATCAGTAGTCAGTTTCATCTTTCAAGTACCCAACTTAATAACTACTTCTTTTCTCATAGCATTTGATTGATTTTGCATTACATAGGTTAAAAATGAACTTGTCATGTCTAATTTTCAATTAAACTAAGATCAGTTATGTAGAGCCGCTTTAGAAAGCCTGGACGTTTATCTCCAGGATTAAATTTTATCGAGTTATATGGCTTTAGTATAATGGCGGTTTTATAAATGTTGTATTTTATTTTTATTATTATTATCATTATTATTTTCTTAATATTGATAAGGGTTCGCACAGTGGTAGTTTTATAAACCACTTTTTAATTTATTGACCTATTATACCTAGTGGTAGTTTTATAGACCACATTTAATTTATTTATTATTTATACTAGTATTTATTTTGGTGGACTGTTCACCCAGTTTTGAAACATTTGTAATTGTGCATTTTGACGACACATTGATGAATGTTATTTTATATTTCTAATTTTATTCTAGATATTATTTATTTCTTTCACAACAGACGACAACTTCCTGTTTTTTCTTCTATATAGTTACTCATATCTCTTATAAAGATTTTTTACAAGGACATTGACAGATGATACTCATTAGGCATTCATTATTGCATCTAATTATTTCACTTGCATAGGTTAGAAAATTAATACTCTGGTTACCAGATTCAAATGTTTAATTAATTTGTGTTATGACCGTAAGGTATATAAGAAGTTATTTATTTTGCCTGGGCTATTATATTGATATGAGGTTTATTGTTGATATGGAATTTGATTCTATATAAATTTACACCGCTATGTGGGTGGGGATTTTGCATAGTTAATATGGTTACTACTTCCTATATATCATATTATTTGATTGGTTATTCGCATGTAATTTTAAATTGGACTATATTTATTTATGAATATCACTAATCATGTTAACATCTTATATGATCATAACTAGATAATGTTTTATACACTGTGATTGTTTAACTGTTAGCATTTCTGGCCAAGAAAAGAAGGTATGGACCGGCCATATATCCAATTAGTCCTTCAACTTGATCCTGAAAAGAGTTTTAGTATACGGGAAAGATGAGATTTATTGCTCATTGATTTATGATTTGTGCTCTGCCAATTGCATCACTCGATTCAATTTATTGTATATATAATATTGTTTGAATGACCGTTTTTATACAAACATAATGCTACTTCCAAATTGTTTATGATTGTAGGCATCTTGTTTCGGTTTAAAATAGCTTTATCAGTGATCTTAAGGTTCTGGTTGGATCTACACATATTATACTGTGAATTTTTATGGTCGACTCAATACTTGATTGATCGAAAATCGGTGTGTTTGAGCCTTATGAGGAGGGAGCTGTCAAAAGATCAGGTATCGTTAGATACCCATCAGACATCTAAATTGTAGTGTTATGTATAAAACAGCCTCAGTAATACTACTAACTTCATTATCTTAAATTCACATTACATGATATCATAATATAGCTCCTCCTTACTTAAAAGTGTTGATATCTCCTAGTGCAGCAAGTTTTAAAAATGTACGTCTTGATATTGATTTTTTTACCCTTAGTTTTCCGCCTCATACTAATATGTAAAACACAGAGAAAAGCTTTTAGTCATGTGCAGTTAAGTATTTAATTCCTTGCCCTTACGACATAAGATCAGCTGAGTCAGTTACATCTTCAAAGACCAAACTTTAAAAAACATTACTTCTTTTCTCTAGCATTTGATGATTTTGCATTTACATAGGTAAATGACTTGTCATGTCTAATTTTCAATTAAACTTAGCTCAGGTTAATGTAAGAGCCGCTTTAGAAAGACTGGGAGTTTATCTCCAGATTTTAAATTTATCGAGTTATATGATTAGCTATAAGGCGGGCTTTATAAAATGTTGTATTTATTTATATATTATGATCATTATTATTTTCTTAATATTGATATAAGGGTTCGCACAGTGGTAGTTTTATAAACCACTTTTAATTTATTGACTATTAAACCTAGTGTAGTTTTATAGACCACATTTAATTTATTGATTATTATACTTAGTATTTATTTTGGTGAACTGTATCACCAGTTTTAACATTTGATAATTGTACATTTTGACGACACATTGACTGAATGTTATTTTATTTTCCTAAATTTATATTCTAGATATTGTATTTATTTTCAACAGGACGCAACTTCTGTTTTTCTTCTATATAAGTTACTCCTATCTCTTTTACAGGATTTTTTACAAGGACCCTTGACAGTGATCTCACATTAGGCATTCATTTATTGTTCTAAATTATTTCACTTGCATTGGTTTAGAAAATTTATCTCTGGTTAACAGATTTAAATGTTTAATTAATTTGTAGTATGACAGTAAGGTATATAAGAAGTTATTTTTAATTTTTCCTGGGCGATTTATGGACTATTGAGGTTTAATGACGATATGGAATTTGAATTCTATATAAATTTTACACTATGTGGTTGGGGCATTTTGCATAGTAAATTAATGGTTACTACTCCTATAATATCATATTAGTTGATTGGTATTCGCATGTAATTTTTAAAAATGACAATTTATTTTTGAAATTCACTAATATTGATTAACATCTATATGTCATTAACTAGTATTAATGTTTTATAACTGTGATTGTTTCACTGTGCATATTCTGGCCAAGACAATGATGGTATGGACGGCCCTATATCCAATTAGTTCTTCAACTTGATCCTGAAAAGAGCTATGAGGGAAAGCTGAGATATATTGCTCATGATTTATGATTGTGCTCTGCCAATTGCATCACTCGATTCAATTTATTGTATATATAATATTGTTTGAATGGGCCGTTTTTATAAAACATATGCTACTTCCAAAATGTTTTATGATGTAGCTTCTTTTCGGTTTAAAAATAGCTTTATTCCCAGTGATTCTTAGGTTCTGTTGGTTCTAACATATTTTACTGTGAATTTTTTATGTCGACTCAACTGATTGATCGAAAATCGGTGTTTGAGGCCCTTATGAGGAGGAGCTGTCACAAGATCAGGTATCGTTAAATACCAATCAGTACATCTAAATTGTAGTGTATGTAAAACACAGCTCAGTTAATACTACTACTTCATTATCTTAAATTAATACATGATATCATAATATAGCTCCTCTTACTTAAAAGAGTTGATTCTCCTAGGCAGCAACGTTTTAAAATGTACGTCTTGTAATGTTAATTTTTACCTTAGTTTCTCCGCCCTCTCCTAAACTATGTAAACACAGAGAACGCTTTTAGTCCACTGTGCAGTTTAAAGTATATAATTCCTTGCCATAGACATAGATCAGCTGAGTCAGTATAATCTTTCAAGACCAACTTAAAACATACTTCTTTCTCTAGCATTTGATTGATTTTGCATTTACTTCGGTAAATTGACTGGGTCATGTATAATTTTCAATTAAACTATGGCTCAGTTAATGTAAGAGCCGCTTTAGAAAGAATGGAGTTTATCTCCAGAATTAAATTTATATCGAGTTATATGATTTGCTATAAGGCGGTTTATAAATGTTGTATTTAATTTTATTATTTATTATCATTATTATTTTCTTTAATAATTGAATAAGGGTTCGCACCGTGGTAGTTTTTTAACACCACTTTTAATTTATTGACCTATTATAACTAGTGGTAGTTTTATAGACCACATTTAATTTATTTACTTATTATACTTAGTATTAATTTTTGGTGACTGTATCACCAGTTTAAACATTTGATAATTGTCCATTTTGACGACACATTGACTTGGATGTTAATTTTTTATTCTAATTTATTTCTAGATTTTTATTTTTTTTCAAAAGCGAAACTTCCTGTTTTTTCTTCTATATAAGTTACTCATATTCTCTTTTACAGACTTTTTTTTACAAGGCATTGACGATGGATTCTCACATTAGCATTCATTATTGCATCTAACTTCTTCACTTGCATTAGGTTTAGAAATTTATTCTCTGGTAACAGATTTCAAATGTTTAATTAATTTGTAGTATGACAGTAAGGTATATAAGAAGTTATTTATTTTGCCTGGCTATTATATTGGACTATTGAGGTTTAATGATGATATGAATTTGAAATTTATATAAATTTACACTATGTGGTTGG